AAGCTGTACCAAGGCCCCACTGTAGTATCGACAATCACTGAGGAAGGGGAACGACTTTTGTCCAAATTTTTGGAAGACAGTTCGGTGGCAGTTCATTTCAGGAACGACGTCTGCATCGAAAATGGGGCTGATGATAACAGAATCGTTCCTCGGTTTTACCAAGAAGTGAACTGGTTCTCTCTCGTCGAAAAAGTGACGGGTGAAGACAATAGAGAGAACCGGGTGGAGTTGTATGATTGGGTCCACGTCAAAGGTAACAATGACGAAGTCATTTATGACAAGATAATTGACTGGACTCGTTCTTACTTTGCCAATATACAAACCATTTTGGCTGACTCTACCCAAGACCACTACTACTATCGGACAAGGGTGATGGAATCAACAGCGTAAGCAATTTCATTTAAGTGTACAAAAATATTCTTACTTAACAGATTATGAATTATAGCATGGACATTCAGACTACAGGTCTGAGCTGCCTCAGTGACGAATCCTGCAAAAAGTATGCAGACACTTGGGCTAGGCTTGTAGTCATGATAATCCGGGCTGTTGATGGTAGAAACGAGACGTTCTCGGACTTTGGTAGGGTTTGCCTTACAAGAGAAATGGAGGATTCCGCTAGAAAATTTTTGAATTGTATCAAGCTCGAGGTGGTGGGTAACTCGGGTTCAATCGGGCGCAAGATTCAGGAGTTTTTTCTTTTTTTGGTCCGTCTTCCTAACCCACCAGGTCATGAACGACACAAGTCGATGATCACGTTGTTCATGGCCTTCAGTCAAATAAGTCATGACGGACAATGGAAGCAGGCTAATGCCGCAAGTGCCGCCCCTGCAAGACTTAGGTACTGCATGCGAAGCATTGTCTTGAAAGAAATCATCGACCAAGAATCGCAATAAACCTTTTTTTTTATCTTTTAAAACTCCCTTGATTACTATGTTAGACGAACTGAACCTTTTTGATGCTATTAGAGCAGCATATACAAATCTATAAGACATTCTATATTTGGGATCGTATTTTATTCATTGCAAAGATAATGAATAACTGATCAACAACAGCTATTATTCTCTACTGCCAATTACACTTGACAAACAAGTATGCAACTTTTACAGTAACCGTTGCATGATCTGATAATTAAGTGTCTCGTAATACTGAAGATTTATTAGAATACTCAAGCTCCCGATCCACTGATATGGGAATTTTTATATTTGTTGGTAGATGGTAAATGATTTTCCGAAAACAGGATTGTGATTCCCTTTTTTTTTTTTTTTTTTTTTTTTTAAGCACCTGTCTGCTTCACGCGCTTGATAAGAATTTTTTTTTATTACAACCCTGAACTAATTATGTCATCTAACAATATGATATACTCTTTAACAAACATTATGGAAGCCCTTACTCCTTCAACTTTGCCCGGTGTAATGCAGTTAAATACTGGCGTAACAATTAAAGTAGAATCAGCTAGCTGGAAGGATTGCCTGGCCGAAATCAACGAAGCTTGTGCCTATGGCTGGAGAATCACTAATTCCAACAAGCAACCCTTGGATTTCTCTCTTGAAGAAGCTAAGGCTAGAAGCATTTCTCTCCGTTTCTCTCAACAGTATTGCTGTCATCGTGCTGGTACTTACAAGTCTGTTGCCAAGGATCGACCCGTTCAAAAAAAAATCGAAAAAGGTTGACTGCAAGTGCACTCTTCGTGTTAGAAGTTTTTATGCTTATCCCGAGTTCTATGAGCTCATTATCGAAAAGGATCATACAAACCATGTTCCTGGAGATTTTATGGACGATATTCGCACTCTTTCTCTCCCAAGAGACCGTTTACATGAGATTTTGCAGCAGCTGAAGCATTTATCAAAGACTCCTCGTCAAATTAGAATTGATATGTTGAAGGCAGCTGACTCTTATGGTCGCAAGTCTCATCGTAAGGTTAATTACCATGATATCTGGAACACTATGAACAAGGTCAGACTATATAAACTCAGTATTTATGGAATATTGATATTAACAATAACGCGTTTTAGGTTGATAAGGAGATGTATCATTTTCATAAGGATCATATGGTGTCTTTTAAAATTTGGATTGAGACAAAACTGCCATCTGAAGGCTACGAATGCTTTACTGGAAAATTGGCATGCACTGAGGACCCATCCTTGTTCGCCTGTGGGTTTGTCTCCCCCGATCAGAAGATTCGAATGAAGAATTCCAGTGCGTTTTGTTTGGATGCCACTCATAGTATTTCCAGCAATATGGCCGATATTTTGTATACTTTGATCATTCGTGATAATAGCATTGGCAGAGGATGGCCAGTTGCCTATATGATTACCAATGATCATGGCACTGGACCAATTGTTGAATGGCTTCAGCATTTGAGGGATGCCTGTCTTTTGGTTGATCCTGAACAATTTACCATTGACTGTTGCCAGGCCGAGGTAAATGCAATTACCAACACCTTTGATCCAGCAAAGACAAAGATTCAGTACTGCATTTTCCATGTGATTCAGGCTTGGAACAAACATCTAGCTTCTGTTTCTGTTCCTGGATTTTCACCTTCTCAGAATAGAGTGCTCAGAGGTGAAATGATGAGCTATTTACAACGCATCGTATACGAAGAAGATCTTGATCAGTTCCATCAAAAGATTATTGGTTTCCAAGAAGAGTATGCCGACCAAACCAAGTTTATGGACTACTTCGTCAGAAACTGGCGTACTGAAGACAAGTTTAAAGTTTGGAGTAGATCGTACAAAGACATCCAATTTTCTCATATGTTGACCAACAACTTTATCGAATCTTGGCACAATCAATTGAAGACCGTGTTTTTGGGCCGAGTTAGAAACAAGAGACTCGACAAGCTCGTTTTTGTTTTGGTCAATGATGTCGAGTATTACCTCCTTCAAGAATTTGAAAGGGTTATTCAGGGTAACGGTGCGATGTCACCCTTCTTTAAGCAGCAAAGAATCAGAGAGCTTGAGGCTGAGGAAGTTGATGATGGGGATAGAGAGAGAATGGTTGGTGGTCCCTCGGATGTAGATGTTGAAGGAATTAGAAGGTATCAGGTTAGCTCCTTTGTCGATGGTGTTTCAATCGATTATTCAATTGAAGTAACCATTGACAATGTCATTATGTCTTGTTCCTGTTCCGATTTCGGCAAACGAAGACAGCCATGTAAGCATATGTATTTGTTGAAAAACCATACTAACTTTTCATTGCATTTTCCTTCGTCTGTCAACAACTACGTTGTTGATAATGTTCCTGTTTTGGAGACGGCTCCTATGGCCACAATCATTTAACAGGATCATAACGAAGAATTAAAGGATCATTTCTTAGATAACGTGGCCACATTAAACCATTCTCGATCTGATTTAACACGTCTTTTCAAGTATATGACAAAAGAAGAGGCAACGGTTGTAGATGAAATTTTGCAACGTACTATGCAAATCACTCAAAGAATGAAAGATAAGTATGAAACACATTTCCGTAGATCAAACACGCAACTTTAAAATAAATTTTACAATGTTTTTTTATAACTTTTAACTTTGTAATTTGCCTTGAGAGTTTTAACTTAATGATTTTTCTGTTTTTTTTGTCAATTTATTTCGTGGTAGATAAGCCTCTTTTTCGGAAAATCATTTACCATCTACCAACAAATATAAAAATTCCTGAATATGTATATAAAGAACCCAATTTATTATATAATAAAGTCTTTAGTTTATTTTTGCAGTTTGATAATTTTACTTCGTCAAATTTCTTTATTTTTATTCTTAATTCGTTGCTTTATCTCTCGAATTTCTCATTGAGACTTCTTTACCATCAATTCTCAAGCATTTATAACTGCTTGCAGGGTCCCAGATAATTTTTGGTAAAGTAGAATTTTCTGATGAGAAAGTTCTAACTTGTCTAGTAACACCAAGAGTCAGATGGAGACCCGTATTACTGGTGTCATAGAGATGATTGAAAAGATGCTGATACTTATTGTTTGTTGAATTTTGTTCATTCATTATAGAAATTAGAATTAAAAGTACGAAAGATAAAAAACAAAGAAAAGAATTAAAAGTATAAAAACGAGGGATCCCACTCATATTGTCGAGCTTTTTTTCATACGCAGATTCATATACCGTTGTAAAGTTGAGATGTAATTAAAAAAAATCGGTTGCTTACGCCGTCGGGACTTGCAGCTCCTCACTCGATAATCGATAAAAACCATACAATTCTTACATATGAATACAATACACACCCCAATTGTCTAATAATATACAAAGACAGGAGAAAATTACGCTCTTTTAAGCAGCGTCCCAAATTTGGGACGCTGCAAAAATGATCGTTGATAAAAACATTTTTTTAATCACACTATTCGGGGATCTAAGCCCTGTCCTTCATCACCCCCGGAGATTCATTTTTTATACCCTCAAAAAAGTTTTTTTTTCACTCAATTACGGCCCTGATTCCTGATTGTAGCGGACCAATGACATCAGGTTATGAATCAGCCTTTTGCACATTTTAGACAGCATAAGGGCTGATTGATGTTATGCTTAATATTAATATAGATACACATAATAGCTTTTACTATGTTGACATATTAAGTATTCCGCTCCCATATTGCTACCAAAGTACGATGTATATCTTACAACACAGCTTCTGGATAATAATTCGGACTTCAAAATCCGTATACTTTTAGTTTGTTTACTCTCACCCACCGATCATTTACCGCTTTTCTCAATCAAATAAATTTTAGTTCAATTCTTATTTTATTATAATGTCAAACTACAACATCAACAATTCTGATTCCGGCAGCGATGGAATTAGAAACTTTTGTGCTGTTGACTTTTCTAGTCCGGATGATATGTTTCTTCCAGACGATTTTCGTCTCGGCTCTGACAGCGATGAAGACTGGACTCCAAGATTATAAAAAGACCTCGCCTGGATCAGGGCAACGATCAGACCCAAGGCAGCGATCAGATGCATCCGTTTCCTGAGGATGTTGGTGCTTTCCACTTTGAAGATTACGATACCAATGACGGTGGTGGTTATGTGCCCGAAGATGATGATCAAGATTACGAAGACACTGTCGAAACTCTTGCCCAACCTCCATCACCTTCTTTGGTTCTTGAAAATGCGAAGATTCTCGAGAAAAAAAAGCAGAAAGCTCGCGAGAAGCGCCAAAAGAAGCCAAAGCAGTTGGCTGATGATTGGAAGGTAAATCTCGAAGGTGTTAAGGCTGCCTTTTATGAGTCAATGCAGGGAGGATTCCCTAAAGCCGAAACTGTTGAGGTTGAGGTGCCTTCTGTTCTGTGTGAACACCACGAAGTAAAATTTCGGGAAGTGAAATTATACTTCTTTCCCCGTAAGTTTTTCTGGCCGATTTGAAAGTGTACTTTTACTAAGAAACATTTTAATATAGGCCATCTTAAGGTGAAATTCCAAGAGTGCATTTGCAAGCCTCTTTGGAAAACTCTATTGCTCATGCATTTCATGCCTAGCAGCCTTAGACAACCAAAGTGTGCCGTACACTTTGGATTCTTGCAATCTATTCACGATCGTAAGGTGATCGCCCAGGACTCGATCACGTCCTGGAACCTTCAAAATCTGAATAGATCAGCCAGTGACTCTGGTGAGGAGGTAAGACTAATTTATGAACTGTATTTCTATTTCATTTGATTGCTCACACACATGTTTTTACAGCTTCAGCCACTCACCCAAGGCGTGATCAACAAAAGTTATCTCGTTTACGGCAGACTTTTGTTGTCCATCGAGAGAACATTGGAGGAGGAGTTTTTGCAGCCTTTGGGAGGTATCAAGTTGGCACCTTCGTGCATTGTTTGTCCTGTAATACTTTTATAACATGCATTATATATTAATCCTACTCTAACTCGAATTCACCTTTACGACTTAGGGTTCGGAAAGAACCATTATTACGATGGATGGAAACTTCTCGCAGAAGCGACACAAATGCGCTCTCAACGCACCTGAGCCATTTGCTGTTGATCAAGTCGGTGAGCTTTGGGGAACCGCAGAGGACGTGAAGAGGTTCGATAAGAAGCATTTCCCTGCTGGCGATTGTGTATGTTTTATTTGATTTTCTTTTTCACCATAGAAAACCTAATGTTATTGAGACATCCAAATTTGTGTAGGACAATGGACTTCAGTATGAAGGTGATGACGAGGAGGGCAATGGCAATGATAGCAAGAGTAATGAAGGTAATGATGGCAATGATGGTGCTGACGCTGGCGCCAGTGCTGGAGCTGGAACTGGAACTGGAGCTGGAGCTGGAGCTGGAGCTGGGAGCAGTAATGATGGCAACGAAGGCAATGATGGTGCTGGCCTTATAGCCGGTGCTGGAGCTGGAGCCGGAACTGACAATGACGATGTTGGTGAGCCTGAGAACCTTCGTGCAGCAAAAGGTAAGGCTGTGAAGAGTAGAGCCATTGATGTTAATGGTGTATTTGCCGCCGGCTGTGCTAGACATGGTATTCCTACCTCCCTGTTTAATATTGACAAGGGTGAGGGGTAAGTAACAAAGTGAATTACATTTATAATGCTTTAAGACTAAGACCCTTACGTTTAGGTTTAAGTATGCATTAGCATCTATTGAACGTTATATGAACAATAGTGCTACTATGGACCTCCCCTTGGACATCATGTATGACTTAGCTTGCAAAATTCGTCCTTCTGCCGAGGTAAAATTAAATATAGCAAAAACCTTTGATGATATAATCTGACATATACTTGTTTTAATAGTCTTATTTCCCAAGTATGAAGGGCGATTCTCGCTATGCGGTCACGGTGTTCCATGCATATGGTCATATATTCAGTTGCCAAGTGAAGTTTAATCCTAGGTTCATTCCTGGCTTTGGGTTGACGGATGGTGAAGGTATGGAACGGTTCTGGTCGTACCTTTCTGGTTATGTCAAACTCACTAGAAATATGGCTGCTGCAACCAGAAAGTTGACCTTAACCGACGGTGTGCGATACTTTGCGTGGACGAAGATGGATAAGATCGGTAATCGTAGAAACATTACTATTCTGATTCTGCCTACTAATAATTATTTATGTCTGTAAGGTAAATTTCTCATGAAAAAGTGGTCGACGAACGAGAAGCTGATTGCCTGCCTGGAGAGTGACATGATGGGGGTATCCATGGAGGAGCTGAAGGAGAAATGGGCTTGTGTTGTCGTAGAGATAATTGATTCTAAGGAGAGAATGAGAAGGAAAACTGGCTTGACAACACCACGTTTTCCTGCCTCGACCTTCGCTCGTGGGAAGTTGGTGGGCGAAGCTGATGTCAGACGGAATGCCGAAGAAGACCTTGAAAGATACGTTTTTGTATCTTATTCATATGTCTTCTTAAAGTAAGCTGGAACAAGCAGTTTGTAGAGGTTGATGCTGATTAAAATGTTTTGTAGGGTTCGTATTTGCAACGGTGCTCTTGAGCGTAGCAAGACCACTTGCATCAAGACCGAGATGAAGAGGACGTTGGACGAAATGAGATTCTTAGAGCAAGTGTTGAATAGAGTAGATTGTCGCCCCGAAATTCTGCTTGACCCATTGTTTGATGGTTACCACCAAAGAGACTTTGCGTCAGTGGAGGATAGGTTGCTTCAATTTATTTCCACTACCGCACAAGGGATCCATTTCCGACTTCGGTACCTTAAACTTGGAAAGGGTATGTACTTTATGTAATTTAGATGGATATTTAGAATTAACATCAGTTATGTATTTAGTTGGCCAAAAAAAACCTTGATGACAAGCTTGACGATCTCAGACGTGAACAAGAAGATCTCAAAAAACTTGTCACCGCCTACAACAAATACATTGGTACGTAATTACGAATTTCTTTTCATTCGTTTGCATAACCGTGTATTCAATTATCTTATAGGTCCACGCAAAAAGAAGCAACATCTTGACCACAAAAACATCATAAAAAAATTATAGACGGCGATCTGATCTATCAGTATATGCAGAAACAGATTGGCATTAGCCTACCACCCACCATCTTGACATTTCATCGACTTGATAGGGCAAGCGAAGAAAAAGAAATTCTAAAGGTATGCTTTAATCGCATCATTTTGTAAGCAAATTTTCTAATGTGAGTTATAGGGCGAGATAGCTAGGGTGATTTCCTATTGCTCTAAAAAAACGAAATCTCTTGCCTCCGCAGTTCGAGATGTAGAATGCCTGTTACGCCTTTGTGATGATCTAGATTCACCCGAACTTGGTCAAATCAGGGGTAAACGATCTATGCTCAAGCGATAATTGCGTTTGGCTGAAATATGGTCCTCGAAAACTTTGTCTGAACTTAATTCATTCAATGGTGATCCAGGATCCACTGTTGACGCTGGTTCTACTTCTTCCCTTTCGCGAGAGGATCAAGATTCTTCGGATAGTGACGAAGATCACGAGGACAATGAGGAAGAAGCGAATGTCCTCGCGGTCAGAATTGCTGAAGGTCTTGTTTCTGAAACGGATCAGGTATAAGAGGGAGATTCCTGGGAGTAAATATCTTTGTTTTCTTTATCTTCTTTTTTTTTCTTTGTCTTTTTTCTTTTCTTTGTCTGTCTTCTTTTCTTTGTCTTTCTTCTTTTCTTTGTCTTTTTTCTTTTCTTTTCTTTTTCTTCCACTTAATTATCAATATAAATCAATCATAAATCTCAAAACATAAACATATACATATCCCACAATAAACAACAATATATTATTATTCGAAAACTTTTTAATTTTTTCCCCATTTGGAAAATGGGGGGAGGGAAAATATAATATATTTACGCATGGTGGGGGGAGCATTATAAATTTTAAAAGTGCTTTGCGGGCCAATCAGCATCAGCCTTTATGCAAACATCTTGAACAATAAAAACAATTTATTTCCTCGCCAACATGTTACGAGACTCTTCTTCATAATAAAACATACAAAAAAAGGTATATACATCACAGTATTATTATCAAAAACTCCGGTATATGTTCGTAGCTTATGAATATTCAAAGTTTTTAAATTTTAAGCAGTGTAAAGATGATAAAAGATACTTTTGAATGATATTGCTTGAAATGTAGCAGGTTATTACATCATTATAATTACGCCATTCAAAAGAGAACACTTTTTACTATTATAAAATGATGTTTAGAAAAAAAAAATATAACTGTATAAAATATTTTAAAGAAACCACCTTTATTTTAACAAATGTGCAAATGACTTTTTACAATAATATTGAATAAAAATATTAAAAACAAATTTTCATAGCTGCAAACTTGATTGAATTGATGTTTCTCATGTATTTTATTATTTCAAACTGAATGGTAATACTTCTCAGATGATACGATAATTTTTCGACAAGATAAAGGGATTTAAAGGTTCCTGACATGTAATCGGCGTCAAAATATACCACATTTGACATGATTAACATAAGATACAACGGATTTAATATCCCAAAAACTTATAAAATATACTCCCATATTACCGCAATACTTTTTCAAGTCTCCAAAACTGATTTATGATATCAAGTTTCGATAAAATCAATCCTTTTTCATCAAATTATGCATATTTTTTGTCAGTTTAAAATGCTTATAAAATACGAACTATACTAGTTACAAGATTGAGAGTTGCATAAACCTTTATGATTTGCTTAGAAAAACATATCTATACAAAAAACCAATTTTTTTTTAATTTTACAGGTGTTTGACTATAATTTCCTACAGTCCCTTGGTGAGATGCTTGCAGAAGCGGCCAAACCTCCGGATATTCCGCTAAAGTTCCACAAACATCGGAAGATCTTTTTAATCAGCCGTCATAAAAAAATTTGTTTTCCTCAAAACCCAATCAAATCATTCCACAATGACGCGCAATTAAATAATTTGGTGATTACGCGATACAATGATGGGGTCACCCGTACCCCAGCGATAAAACTTTTCTTTCACTTTCTCATCATTTTTTTATTTCCTCATTATGAAACTGCTAATCTGAACATCTGAAGGCGTTTCTATGCTCTATCCAACTGCTGCTGCTCATAACATAGCTTAGAACGACTGTATAATGGGTAATTAATATTATAGATTTCACCCATACGATTTATTAACATAAATTATATAGCTGGTTTAGTTTGTTTGTGGTTTAATTTAAGCACTAGGTGTTGTTTAAATCCTTTAATATCCACCACTAATACATGGTAAGGAAGCTGCTCATTAAAGAAAACCAAAGACGAAGTTACTGATCGTTTATCATTTTTTCTATAGTCGTCTCTACCAAGTTAGCTTATCAACCCTGTGCCATATATATTCACTCAACTTGAGTCTGACTGAATATGTTCCTCCGTCTTCATTTTCAAGACTTATATCTCAATGAAAGCAAAGGAAAACTATTGTCAAATGTTTCAAGTCTACTACTTCTATTATCAAAAAACAAGGGAGAATTATTGCCAAATTTTTTCCGGTTTACTGCCTTTAGTATCAAAAAACAAGGGAGAACTATTGTCAAATATTTTCCGGTCTACTGCATTTATTATCAAAAAACATGGGAGAACTATTGTCAAATTTTTTCCGGTCTACTGCCTTTATTATCAAAAAACGGGATAGGTATTATTGACTTTTCGTTGTTAAAATGCGCATTAAACGTTTACGGAGCATGTTATCTCGGTTTAGATGTTTATGATCTTATGAAGATGATACTAGTGCAAATTCATCTGTTGATGGTGTTACTACGTTTAAAATATTCTGGGTTAAGGTAAGTAGCATGCATCTTGTAGATATTTTAAATGCAAATAAAGTTTCAGTTACTACAAAATAATTATCGTCTTTCATAATTTGCATCAACCATTGCTACTCTAATTGTTTACATGTGAGTCAATCAAGCCAATCTGAATAAGTAAAATATATTTACTTTTCTGATAAGGAATGATGAACCTAAAATTGAAAAAGATAATTAAGTTACGTTCTCAATTCGACAGATGACAAAATTGGACTTGAGATAATACTTTGGAAATTAAGATCATATCGATCCCAAACCACTTTCATATTTAAACAAGTTATATGTTTGGCCATTTTTTTAATGATTTTATTATTCTAATGAAAAAATAATGTGGCCATTCTTAATGGCATCAATTACCTCGGGAATGTTCTTACTTGGCAACTCTCGTCTAAATTGGAGATGTGCTGGCCATTTCCTGATCGAGATTCCCAAGCCGACATGTCTGAGAACGACATGTTCGGCGTCTCGTTCAACTTCTTTGAAGGAGGATCACTGAACTTCTTGTGTCTCTGTATCAGTGATAATTGCCCTTGTTTCGTCTATTAAAAAGCAACTGTTAAATAATTATTAATGTACCAACAATGTTTAACATACTGATCAATAGAAGAATGGTCTCCCTCAAATCCTGTCTTTGGATGTCATTGCTTTGATGTTGTCACCCTCTTTCGCTTGATAGCCGGGGGATTTTTGGTCACTTTATATGAAGGACCTTTCACTAAATTTGAATAACTGGTATGAAGAATTTGCAACGTCTCTAACTACATCTTTACCTCGTCCTTCCTCAACACTCTTGTGTCTCTCAGCAAAATACTCAAGGTTGGAGCTGAGAGAACCTCCATTCCTTTCTTCGTACTCCTGCAAAAAACCCTCACCAGCTTCTATAAAAGAATGAGTACAGTAATGCCACAAGTTTTTAAAATCCCATCAACTTACCTGTCCCCGAGATCACGTAATGGGCACGGTTGTACCCAACTACCTTTCTCACAACCGCACAAACTACATGGGCTTCCGATTCCCGGCCGATCTTTTCCAATAAAGCTTTTAACTTGAAGGAGTTTCAGTTCTTCCCCGCCGGATTTACACACATTCTAATATTTAAATTAACCAATCAAAATCACGAAATTTTTTCATAAAAAAAAAGTGTAAAAAAAAAGTGTAGGAGCTCTTCGTTTCACACTTTTTTTTTACACTTTTTCACACATATTGAGTTTTAAAAACACGAAATATCATGCTTTAATTTTTTGTATTCATGGCAAAACCCTTTCAAAATTCTTCTCATAACGATTCGTTGTTCTTTTTCCTCTGGAGTATTTGCTTCTAACAAAGCAGGAGTATGCTCTTGTCGAAGCACAATACCTTCCTCATCTTTGCTGTCACTTTCGCCATTAACAGAAGAAGCAGCTTTCTCCGTAACCCAACTATGTTATTGCCCTGTGATGTCTCGTGTTCAATTAACCTTTTCTTGTGTCATAACTACAACGTATTCCATGTTACTATATAACTCATTATGAAGTTACGAAATCAGGAACAACTTCATTGGCTCGGATCTTTAAAAATAAGCGTCTTTCTAAAAAGTGTGAAATTTTTTTTTATTTGGGGGCTCAGTTCTTGCAAAGTGTCAAATGCATTTCATTGGTTCTTAATTATTTCACCGAATGTGTAAAAAAAATGTGTAAATCCGGCGGGGAAGAACTGAAACCCCTTATTATAATCCGTTCTCTTGCGGAAGCGATAACCCAGTTTATTTTGCTTCTTAGGAGTCAACAATTGTTCGGAATGTTCATAATAAGAATTCCGATGCTCCCTCTCTTCTTTGGTCATGTGGGTAAAATCATTAGCTGCAGCATTAGCATCTTTACCATATATTGATCGGTTAAAATTACTATGTAAATTTTTTAAGTAACCAAAACCTACTCGGGTTTAGTAGCTTAATTTTACGCAGGTACGTATAGTAAAACGAAACCGTCTAGGCATTACCTTAAAACTAAGCGAACCACTTTGAACTCGTCTGGCGAGATCATTCACATTCTTTTAAACGATTTGTAGGTTCCTGCATTGCTTTTAAAATAATTGCTTTCTCCTTACGAAGCGTCTCTGAATAGAAAATTGTCGACATTTTAAATTTACCACTGCATGAAATAACAAATTTTGGTTTTTTAAAAAAACCAATTAAGGACTTAAAACAATAAAAATTGACAATTATCATTTATCATTTAAAAAAGTGTTTTGTTAACATATGGTGTTGGTATATTTACTTTTTAGGAGTATCGAAGTTAAAGCATAAGAGAGCACTATAATTTTTAACAACTTAAGTTACGGTATTGTATTTTAGACCATTTGATTTTTTACCTAAGCCAGCGATATATTCAATGCGGGGAAAGGGTAAACACCCCAAGCGGAAGTAAAGGATCCCCTCAAAAGCCGCTGGGAGCTTCAGCCGTTCAGGCGGAGAGTTACCAGCGGACAAGGGCCAGTGGAGCCCTCACCACCGTTGAGATTTTTGTTTATTTCTAAAAATAAAAATAGGCCAATTCGGCTGACTTTTATGGAAGTCGTATTTTAAGCATTTTTTTTTTTTAGAACTTGTTTTAAGATTTAAATAGCAGTGGTTTTTATTTTAATATGATATACATTATACTATGGGTCGCCTTATCCTTCTCTTGGTCAGCATCCTACAGCTGTTGGCCTTGATTAAAAACCTACCCTGTCTGAGACCAAACACTGATCTCAGGTACTTTGAATAAATCATTTTGACTAAGAAACACCTGTATCAAACGGTTTCCTGCATAATTTAATGCTTACCGCAGCCTAGATACGACGGACGTGTATGTCACCCAACAAAGAAACAGACCTATAATTACAAGGGGTTACTTTTCATAGATGTTAGTGATGAAATTTAGTTTCAGTGTTACAGTGATGATACCTGAGTATATGATTTAATGTTTCTCTTTTCACAACGTAACCTATTCCATTCGGATGTTAGTAACTTTTAATCGATTGACCCATAACGTTGCATAGTTACCACCGCTGATGATTGGCATTTAATTTTGCTTAAATATAAAAGAGGAACGTAAGAAAATAGTTATAACACTGCTAAACGTTTATGCTTACATTGGCATGAATGTCTGCTAGCGCCTCGCGCAACTGGGCAAGCATCAAATAATAGCTACCTTTTTATAAAGGAGATTAGTAGAGGAAGTTACTTGTAAGAATTCGTTACCTTTTCTTTTCTTGTAATTCAACATGGAAAAGAGTGTTTGAAAAGAAAAGAAAAATAAAAACAGGTTTAAAAAACATTTTTTTACGCCACTGATTTCATGAAGTAAACAAATAAACCTCTAACTTCAGACGTGTGATGATCTTCATAAATGATTTGTTTTTACAAAAAGGTTTCATTTTACTCTTATTTTGCGCTTTCTTCCACTGATTAAACATTATAATGCAACCTACAAAGCGGATTTATAAAAAGCGTAAAGTCACTGTTCCGCCTGGAAGGTCTAATAGTCAGATCAACTTTCGAGTCGAAACGGACATTGACATACCCAAATGCCCTCTTTGCGATAATATTTTTTTTGATACCATCAGAAATTTAAAAAATCATTTGATAACACAGCACCGCGTTACGAATGAAGCCGTAAACGAACTCTTGGCGCATTACTACCCAGAAGGTGTATTGGAAACAGAAGGTTATTCGGACATTGATATCCCAGACAACTCAGAACTGTATGGCGATTCTAGAAATGGAAGTCCCAGTGCCAGTAGTGACGATGATGACAATCAACATACAGCCGATGAAGAAGAACTCGACGAAATGTATCAGACATTGCAAGATCAAATGTCTTTTGCTGTTAATACTTCAACGTCCGATGTTGAGGTCGAAGTTGATCAAATTACTACAAGTAACATTTGGGATAGATATGCTTCTAGCACCCATCCCTTTTGTAATCTAAAAACAATGATTCTTCATGTTCTGGTGGATGGTGATAATGACATGATTTCGCGTAGAATTCTAAAAAAAGATTATGTTTGCTATTACCTTACTTTTCAAAGTAAAGGAAAAAGCTGATGACGACGGTGTATCTTTTACGCTGCCCAAGTTAGATAACATCTTAAACTATCAATGTCGACAAAAAACCAAAATGCCAATTTTTCCATCCAAGCTGGTGGATCTTTCATTAGACAATAATGAATCAGTCACAGCTTGTCTGAATCTACCATCAGAACATGTTAGACTTTTAATGGCCAACCCAAAGCAGTCATCATTGATTTCTTCAGTACCTGATCGTAGCGATGATATGTTAGACCGATTGGAACAAGGGGAAAAATGGAGGACTCACGATTATTTCCAGCAACCTATGTGGACAGTGAGGGGAGTTGATTATTGGAAAGGTGACTGGGTACGCCCATTAGACAAGCCAATGAATGTCAACTTCTTGATAAAGTCTTTTCATAGCTGCAATAAAAAGATGTATGCAAGGGGGCATTTAACCCTACAAGCACACGACAGTCAAAAGATTGGTGTCGAACTCAATGAAACCGATTTGATCGTAACGGATATTTTGAATAAGCTTCCTTGTCGTTTGAATCCTTATCTATGCTGCAGTATCAGTCCAACAGCGGTATACCCTTTGACTAATGAACATGCTATTTTAATCCAAGGTGTAAATCAATGGAAGAAACGCAAACCCCAATGTACAGAAGAGTTTTATAAAGTAAAAATAGCTCCTGTTATTATCTTTACAGATGATACCTCTGGAAATACATCTAAACAGTTCAATGGGTATGAAAGCTGGTCAATGAAATTCGCTGCACTGGATTTTGAAGAAAGATCCTCAAATGGCAATATTCATTTTATATCTGCTATTCCTAAAAAAAACGGTGTGAGCGGCATTTCTTTGTTACCAGTTATTGTTGACGACTTGAAATCACTAGAAAGCGGGATGATTATGTATTCGGCTGAAGAAGACGAAAACATTGTTGTCGTAGCCCCAGTCCTTTGGATCGAAGCCGACACACCTTGCCATTCCGAGTTATGCGGACTTTTATCACCTACTTGCTTGTATCCCTGCCGAAAGTGCTATATTCTTCTTAGAAAAGGTATCGCAAGTCAAAAGGGTGTAGATTATTTTGTCTTGCCACACGCTGAAAGAAATCGTGGCCATTATGTCGTGGCCTCATCGGATTGTAGAAGATTATCTATTATACAGAATGCACCTACCACTGGGACGAGTCTCTCTGCTAAAGACCTATGCTACAAAGATAGGAAAAAAGACAGACCGCTTGAATTACAATCGTATGATCGATCAAAAGATACTACTGTCGAAGTTCTTCATGCCATTTTACTTGGCATTAGTAAATATATGATAGTCGATCTTGTAAAAACAGTTTTAAAAAATCGCTCTGCTATTCTAGATAGGCTCTCAAATAAACTTAAACAATACCAAGAAGAATGTGTTGGATTATCTCGAAAATTCACAAGACAGTTGCGACATTGTGGTTCTTTTTTGGGTAGAGATTTCAAAATCCTAATCCAAATTCTTCCTATTGTACTTTTGTCGGATTTTTCTAACGAGGAAATATTAAAGAATATTACGGTTCTGTTTGTTCATCTCGGAAAACTATGTTCTTTGCTCTTCGAACGGGAAATGAAAAGTAACTTTAACGAGTATATAGCAACAGTGGGTAGAGCAATTAAGGAGTTTATAAGTGCACTTCACTATTACGACTTGAATAATGATATTCCTGGTCATAATGCTTATACTGGAAAGGTGAAGATTCATCTTCTTACCCATATTCCTCAAGAGATCCGTCGATTTGGAACATTATTACAATACGAGACCGAAAAGGGAGAACAATTCAACAAGCATATTAGGGAGCATATAACATTTACCAATAAGCTTAATCCTTCTCGGGATATCGGGATAAAGTTTGGTAAACAGTCTATGATGCGTCATGTTCTTGAAGGTGGTTCATGGTTGAATGAAAACAAAATTAGAGAAAAGGCAAGAGACGATGTAATCTCATTTATTCAATCCATCGAAGATAGAGTATATTTGGATCTTTTGGGTGGCTCCAGAGACTTTATCGATAACACCGACCCTAGTTACAAAAAGATTGGCGAAGGCTCTTTTGCTTTATTCAGACATACCAATAATGACAATAGTTCTTTACAAGTTAATCAACAGAAACCTTTCGTTGGCGTAGTATGTGGGCCAAGCGTGTTATCTGGCGAATGTTCTTGTAACAATTTCGAAAGAGGTTGCATCCCTTTGAACTTTAGTCAAGACCAAGTGTTAGTTCCACTGAATCAACTAGAAGTTGAGACAGTATTGAACGTATATAGTCGAAGTGATGGAACATAAATCATCAATCTTTTCAAATTTGGCTCTTATTGGGCAATGAAAAACTTATTTTCATAAAGTATTTTGTATTACACGAATTTCTTTTTAAAATAAAATGTTTACGATAAGTTCTCTTTCAGTTACACACAAATCTCTATTAAAAACTGCTTGCATCACTCTATGCCTTCAAAGGAAGGTCTATTTTTTCAAAATAGAAATTACACAAAGTATTTATATTCAAGCCAATCAACAGCCTTAAAACATTTTCGATTTCCAAATTTGAGCCCAAAAATTAACGGTGGTGTTGTTTGCAGTTTGTAACTACAACTTTATTTTTTATTAGACCATCAAGTATTGGCTGAACTTTGCATTTTATTTTTTTGATTCAAAAAACCTTCCAAATATGGATTTTTCTTAGTTGGTGTGTAGCGGGTAATTAGAGACTGCATAAGAATGTCCGATCCTTCACCATTTTACCTTATTGCGTCTTTTATGGGGGTCAGGATAGCGATTCTTGCAGCTAAGCAATTTTATTGGATAACAAAATGGAAGAGACTTTTATTTTTTTGAAAAAATGACATGTAAAAAAAAACAGAATGATTAGTTTCTTTCATTTTCTAAAATTTTGAAATAACGATTAGTGTTATGGAGCCACCAGAAAGTACCGAACTTGCACTTGTTGATAAGAGAATACTTGACAGTATCAATCTCAGTTTCCTGAGACATGTCAAGTAATTCCACCACAGTCAGTTTATACTTCAGCAAGTCCAAGATTTCTTCAGTTTTCTTGGTGAGGAGATTACCACCTTCGTCAGCTTGATAGACAGAAATGAGGCTACTGTCATCGTGAATCACGAAGGCTGGCCTGGGAACAAGTTCATACACCTCAACAATAGCCTGATCGCCGCGAAGTTTTACCACCTTTCCAAGCAGACGACGCGCCCCAAGAGAATCCAAGTCAACATCGAGAATAGCCGTCATGTTCAAAGCAATCTTCTTTCCAGCAATATATTCAGTACTGCCGAATTCCCGATTAGCAGAATAGTACATGTCCTCACTGTACCTATCGAACCACGCTTTGACCAGACTACCACGAGTTTTCATACCGTTATCCCAAACAAGACCTATCGCAATACTTCTCAGCATTACCTCACGACCGTTAATAAGAGCCAAATCACGAGAAGGGTTTTGTTTGTTGGTCTTCATGACAATTGCCCTAATGTGTTTGTTGAATTGCTCGTTTTTTCAGTTGCGAGAAGCACAGGAGAAGCAAATCGAAGACAATCCTCTACCAAATGGACTATCAAATGAGTCTTTAAACGATTACACAATGGACCACCAGTTTTGGCGTATGGAATCGTAGCACCATTAGATTGTTCACCAGAAAGACCATAGATCTCTTCAGAAGTAGTTTGACTGGGCACTGATGCAGTTGTCGTTGCTGTTGCTGGCTCTCCACGAGTACGTCGGTTACTGGGAACAACGGTACGATCAAGGTTATCCAGAGCAATAACAGTATCATCAACGGATTGACGCAATAAATCGAGATAGGCAGAAAAGTTGGTATGTATTTCACAGTTATAACACAATGAGCAAAGCTCACCAAGCTTGTCAAAAGTACTAATAACGTTATCCATTCGGTGGAATTGATCATTACGAAGGTTGAGGAAATCAATGTGGCCACGAGCAACTCTGAGAACAATTGGGAGCATCTGAATCATAAGTTTGAAGTCTCTTCCAAGAAAGCTTTTGTATCCTTTGAGATGCGTCGTGTCAGAAACAGAACAAGAACAGAAAGAAGACTACTTGGTGACACGAGAGTCAGAGTGAAAATGATAAATAAAGAAGTTTATTTCAGAGAAGGGGGAGGGGTTAGGACTAAGATCCAGAATAACGTTTTTCTAATAAATAACTAGCATCTATTTATACTATTTCTTATACATGGGAAAAGCTACGATGGGTTTAAATTATAGATTAACAAGGGACTTTACGGAACAGATATCATGAGCAGATTATTTGACAAGGATGAGTAATTGAGATTCGACGAGTAATAGCAGGCTGGATTTAGTTGACATTGAATAATTAGATGGTTCGGGGAATATCTCTGATTTGACACGGGCGGGAAAACTGGATTGGGATATGAAGTAATAGATGATCGGAAAAAGGTTTACTAAGGTTGAGTCAGACAAGAGGCGGGAAATATATTGGAATACAGATTGGTGGTAGGTTTTACAAGGAATTCAGAAAGCGGGCAAGATATACAGATATGATTTTGGGTACAAGGTTTTACAGGGAGTTTGGTAGCGGACAAGGTATACTGATATTAGATTTTAGGACAAGGTTTCACAAGGGTTTAAAATCAAGGCATGATCTAGGACATGATGAAATGAGTTCATGACAGTCGCTCCCTCTTTACGGTCGAGCAACTGTGAGACTCTTTTCACATGGTCGGGTTGGGTGCAAGGTATGAAATTTCTTGATAGCTGATTTACAATGGGTAAGATTTTTTGTAGGTTCCCAAGTTCTATCCATGGTGCTATAGCCTTTCCAGTGTACCAAGTATTGTAAGTTATTTCTATTGAATCTTGAATCTACAATGTAGTCCACTTCGTATTCTTGATGTTCATCTACGATTATAGGTGGTAATTCACGAATGGGGCGACCAGGGATTTTATCAGGCTTATACGGTTCTAGAAGGTTTACGTGAAACACTGGGTGTATACGCATCGTTGGAGGTAGGTCCAATTTGTACGCACGGGATCCAACTAATGCTACAATCCTGAACGGCCCTAGACGCTTGTAGTCTAGTTTACCAGTTGGGCGTTGTGATTTGATGTTTTTTGATGAGAGCCAAACCTTGTCATTGATTTTGTAATTGGGACCTGGTTGTACGTGTCTATTATAAAATTCCGTATGCTTTTCTTGGGCTAGTCCAATATTGAATTTCATTTCTTGGTGTAAGTCATGAATATTTTGTAAGCGGACGTCTGCAGGGGATTTATCTTGATCGGACCTTGGTAGTGTTACTGACATTCGTGGGTGATATCCATATACTGCATAAAAAGGAGTGGTATTTGTTGATGAATGTTTTGCATTGTTATAGGCAAATTGTGCTATGGGTAAATAATCACTCCAGTCAGATTGTTGGTAGTTGATGTAACATCGTAAGTATTGTTCAAGTATAGAGTTGATACGTTCTGTTTGACCATCCGTTTGTGGGTGAAAAGCAGTGGACAATTTTTGTGTGACTTTTAATCCTTTCATGACAGACCTTGTGAATAATGACGTGAAGGTAACTCCACGGTCAGAGATTACGCTATCGGGGGTTCCAAAATGACAAAAGACATGAGTGATAAACAGACGTGATGTTTCTTCTGCATTGACTTGATTTGTAGTGGGTATGAACAATGCCATTTTACTGAAGCGATCGACAAACACGCAAATTGCCGTGTAGTTTTTGGACGGTGGAAGTTGGGTTATAAAATCAACTGATATGGATGTCCAAGGTGAGTCCGGGATTGGTAGAGGTTGTAGAAGTCCATATGGTTTGTGATGGCTATTTTTGTTTCTGATACACGTTTCGCAACCAGAAACATAGTCCTTGATGTAGGTACGCATACCGGGCCAGTAATAATTTCTTGATACCATATCATACGTCTTTGCGATACCAAAATGTCCAGCGGCAGGTGTATCATGACATTCTTCTAAAATAATTCTTTTTACATCGTCAACATGAGGTACACATATTTTTCCTTCATGAAATAAAATATTATCGTTAAAGCTGTATTTGGTCTCAGCCTTATTTTCAGGAGATGTTTTGACTGTGTTGATAATTGGTCCAAAATAAGAGTCTTCAGGTAATGCAAGGATGATTTTCGGCAGGATAGGATTTGTTTCGAGGTCAATGGGTACGGAGATAACAGAGTTTAAAAATAATTTTGGGTCTAGCAAGGTCATATTAGTTTTTCCACGAGAGTCACCCCCCTCAAAAGGGCGGTCTTTACGAGAGAGCGCATCAGCAGCAGCATTGTGCTTGGCAGCACGGTAAACAATGAGGTAGTTGAAATCACCAAGAATCTCAGCCCAGCGAACTTGTCGGCGACTGAGGTTGCGAGTAGTTGAAAAGTACTCTAAATTTTTGTGATCCGTCAAAACAATGGTTGCATCTGATGAAAATTCCAAGTAGTGTCGCCAATGTTTGAAAGCAGCAACAATAGCCAGAAGTTCCTTATCGTATATCTGGTAGTTAAGTTCAGCCGGAAGAAGTTTTCGTGAATAAAAAGCGATTGGATGGTTATAGCCATCGGGACCAGTCTGGCTACATACGGCACCAAGAGCAAAGTCAGAAGCGTCGGTCTCGATTATGCAAGGTAACTGTGGGTTAAAATGGAGTAGTACTGGATTACTAACAATACGATTCTTGAGATCATTAAAGGCGTTGATGGCAGAGCTATCCCAACGAAAAGGAACATCCTTTTTAAGTAAGCTAGTCAATGGGACACATAGTTTGGAATAATTTGCAATAAATCGTTTGTAAAAATTTGTCAATCCGAGGAAAACTTGAATATCGTGGACACTGGTGAGATCTTTCCAGTCTTTAATTGCATCAACCTTTTCTGGATCCATTGAGATATGATTGGGGGTAATAACAAAACCAAGAAATTGTACACTCTTCACGTCGAATTCGCATTTTTCCAATTTTAGAGAGAGTTGAGCATCCTTTAGCTTCTGTAACACCAGACGTACATGATTCGTGTGTTCCTCCGGATTGCTGGAAAAAATAAGAATATCATCGAGATAAACAACGACAAAAGAGTCTAGATATTGTCGCAGGGTGTCGTTGACTAGAGCTTGAAAAGAGCCAGGAGCATTACAAAGACCAAAAGGCATGACACGATATTGAAAATGACCATAACGGGTACGAAAAGCAGTTTTCCATTCATGACCTTTAGCTATACGAAGAAGATTATATGCACCACGCATATCAAGTTTGGTAAATATAGCCCCAGTATGTAGACGATCTAAAGTTTCGCTTATAAGTGGTAGGGGACATCGGTTTGGAATAGTGATTTTGTTAAGACTGCGGTAATCAATAACAGGGCGAAGAGAGCCATCCTTTTTCTTGACAAAGAAAACAGGAGCACCAGCAGGAGACTCAGATCTTTCAATAAATCCTTTGGTTAAATTTTCTTGAATATATTCATACAATGTGTCCATTTCTATTTTTGATAGGTTGTATAAGGGTCCAAAAGTCACTTCACTACCGGTCTTGATAGGGATGGTATGGTCATAGGGTCTATGCGGGGGTAGTCGATCAGCTTCTTTTTTTGAAAATACAATACTAAAATCTTGATATTTATTTGGTAACAGTTGTGTCGTGATGTTTTCATATTTGTTTGTGTTTATGGCGCAAATAATAGGTGCAGATTTTGGTTGTGGAACGTTAAAATGTTTTAAAATCGGTGTATTGAGTTGTTTTGCAAGTTTTTCCCTTTTTTCTTTTTTCTCGTTCATTTTTAAAAAGTCATAAGAATACTCAGAAGAATGATTTATTTCATTGGAAGAAGTAAAAATATTATCTGTATGTGAAGGGGTTACAAAGGTTGTACTATCGTTAATCGAGTCACTAATTTTTTCATCGTCAATTGTAATCACATCGGTCGTTGTTGTATCTAGTTTAGTGGCGAGGCATCCACGAAGAAGACAGGTCATCACCATCGTTCCGGACTTCCAGTCAAAAGCAGGGTTGTGGCGTACTAGCCAATCTTGACCGAGAATAATAGGGTGAGCAGCAGAGTCGAGGTGCTTCAAAGTAATATATTCTTGGTGGTGTGTATCGTTAATTTTCATAAATAAAGAAGATTCTTTATCTGTCGTATGTACGGAGTTGTCTGCTAATTTGTATGAGGTCGGTATACCAGTATGATAGGGGAGACCGCTTTGAGTTACGATGTTGGATGAGATGAACGAACTAGAGCTTCCAGAGTCGACGAGAGCAAAAACAGAGACACAAATACCGCTAATAGATACTGTTACAGGTATAACAATGAGACCCGATACTTCGCTTTCAGTAACGTAATTAATGTCGAGAGCATTGGATTTGTTGATACTTTCCTGTTTTTTGGATACTTGATGTAAATACTGTACCAATAATTTGTCTTTTGGGGTTTTTACGGCCTTCACTAAATTTAACTGGGGGTCGATGCTTGTAATAGCGTGTAATTGGGTGTCGGTTTCCAAGTTGGTTTCATCATATGATTCATTAGTTAATATGGTTGATATTGTTCCAAAGTTAGATCGATGGGGTTGGTTATTTATCTTGTTTGGGCAGGCAGCTGTAAAATGTCCAGGAAGTCCACAGTATAGGCATAGATTATTTTTACGTCGTCTATCTTTTTCCTCAGGTGAAATAGGGCCACGACGAATGTTGTTGTTGTGGGGTGAATAGGATTGTGTTTTGTTTTCCGTTTTAATTTCGTACGTGGGATAACCGACATGATTGATTTCCATTGGGGTAGGTTGAGTGGGTTGAGGTTGTCTAATGATTCGAGTTGGTGATTGTTGTTTTTGTTGTACTCTTGCATAATGTCGATTATCAATTTCAATTGCCTTAGCTATCATCTTGTTCAATTCCTTAATGGGTGAGAGTCGGGCAAGTTCATCTTTAACATGGTCCTTAAGGTTCAGCACGAATTGAGATACCAAGGCATCGTTGTTCCAAGTCAATTGCATGCTCAATCTTCGGAAGTCTGTTGCGTATCGAGCTACAGAGCCCACTTGTCGCAGGGCACGGATAGATGATTCAGAATTAATAATTGGATTAGAGTCACCAAAGGCGTCATATAGGATTTGTTTGAAGTTTTTATAATCGTTTAAAATTTCCAATTCTTTATCAGTGTCGATATCTTTGATAAATGGTTCAATGTATGAAAGGGCATTTCCTGCTAAACAACCAATGGTGTAGAGAACCTTCTTGTTGTCCGAAGCAAAACGTACGTCGTCGGCAGCAAATACAACTGAGAGTTGAGAAAAAAATGAATTTATGTACGACGTTTGACCAGTGAAAGGTACGGGAGGTTTGATACGGATGGAATTTGTTTGTTGGGTTACGGATTTATGTTGATAATTTTCGGCTATATATGCATGGATCTCTGCACCTAGATCGGCTACATGTTGTTGACAGTTGCTGATAATAGTTGCAGTGTTGGATTCAATGGCATGGAGTCGTCGAGCAAGATTGTTAATTATGTCATTTGCGGACATGTTTTGGGTTTCTAATTTTGGTAATTCAGTTTCTTCAATAATGGAGACCCGATGTAGGAGTTGCTTGAGTGTTTCGATTTGCTCTTCGGTCAATTCAGGCATAGTGGCAAATCTTTATTGGAGACGAGGTTAAACAAGAAACAGGGAACAGGGAACACGGCAAAGAAACGAGGTAAAAGGTAAAGAGGACCAAGTAGTTAGGTTTTTGATTCTGGATAATGTCAGAAACAGAACAAGAACAGAAAGAAGACTACTTGGTGACACGAGAGTCAGAGTGAAAATGATAAATAAAGAAGTTTATTTCAGAGAAGGGGGAGGGGTTAGGACTAAGATCCAGAATAACGTTTTTCTAATAAATAACTAGCATCTATTTATACTATTTCTTATACATGGGAAAAGCTACGATGGGTTTAAATTATAGATTAACAAGGGACTTTACGGAACAGATATCATGAGCAGATTATTTGACAAGGATGAGTAATTGAGATTCGACGAGTAATAGCAGGCTGGATTTAGTTGACATTGAATAATTAGATGGTTCGGGGAATATCTCTGATTTGACACGGGCGGGAAAACTGGATTGGGATATGAAGTAATAGATGATCGGAAAAAGGTTTACTAAGGTTGAGTCAGACAAGAGGCGGGAAATATATTGGAATACAGATTGGTGGTAGGTTTTACAAGGAATTCAGAAAGCGGGCAAGATATACAGATATGATTTTGGGTACAAGGTTTTACAGGGAGTTTGGTAGCGGACAAGGTATACTGATATTAGATTTTAGGACAAGGTTTCACAAGGGTTTAAAATCAAGGCATGATCTAGGACATGATGAAATGAGTTCATGACACGTCGACAAATTGGTAAAAGCCTTAGACCCATACTTTGCACACAAAATACTAATGCGATCAACCTGCTTCTTGTTGAAAAAGCAATCAGCAGCTTTGTTGAACGTGTATTTGATTAAACCGAGACATAGGCCATGCAGAATTTCTACCGGTGTATCCTTGCTAGGATCCCAAGAAGACAACGTCAAAAGCCTTTTGCCAGCAGTTTCCTTGAAGCCGAGGTCCATCAAGTTTTCGACCATGATATAATCACCCTGTCTGTTACGAACACGTATCGAGAAATCAGTACTATCCGAGTCATCGCTTGGAAATAAACTCATCCAGTGACCTTTTTCTCTTGGAACTGACATGTGTTCTTCGGCCGTGGTAATTCTATTAGGATCAAAAGCATCAGCATGTCGACACCAGAAGCATTTTCTACACGGATAAGTAGCTGTTGAAGCTTTCAAACAAGAAACCTCGGCATGACGAGGATTGTCAGCCTTGATAAACAAAAGAGGAGCAACAACAAAGACTTCTTCCTTGAGAATAGCATCAAACATCGGCAGACCAGTTTCCAGTTTCTTTAAATCGGGGACAAGGGAAGGCAACTGTTCCATAGCAGTATGGCGATTTGATCCACATATAAAAAATTGATTCAAATAATGATTGGCAACACTAAGAGGAACAGCGGCAGGATTCATCGACCACGAATCGAAACAATTCCATTTTGATGTGGAATTACCACTGGTATCATCAGAGAAAAGGTTGTACGGAATTACTCTAACGACCTGGTAGTTTGGCGAATTGGGATTTATGCTTCTTATACGTGATCTAATGGGCAGTGGACGCTTGTACTTATTACCAGTATCAATCATGTCATGATGAGCGCGAATCAATCGAGTATTAGCAACAACATCTCTAGAACAAAGATAATCGTCACCATTTATTTGTTGTAAGCTAGTAAATGTATCGAAGGATTCATGTTCGGCACGAAAGACATTATTGATGTCAAGGTCGGTTATGGGACAGTGGAGAAGGATGTCGTATAAACAGCACATTTCAAGATTATTATCGGATTTAATTGGATACAAATCAACGTTCACAACTTTTGATATTTGGAATATCTTGGCCACTTTAAAATAATGGCGATCACGAAGAGGAATATTGCTCTCAGACAGCAAAGAGACTTTATCCGATACCCAGAGTTGAAGATTTGGACCAGTAATTATCATAGGATGCTCAAACAATCTATCACAATTCCACTTTTCACCTTGACTTAGCTTGATTCGTTGGTTAGGTGTTCGATCAGGAAGATCTGACAGGAAACCAGACATACAGGGATTACCTACGAGAAGTCGCAAGTGTTCAGATACATCATTAAGAAACAAGTCAGGCTTTGATGCGACAACAACAGGAACAGCGGGTGCAGAAGCAGTTGTATTTGTTGTTGCAGCAGGATCAGTGGCAGGAGCAGAGGTATTGGCAGAAGCAGAGGTAGAGGCAGGAGCAGAGGTAGAGGCAGGAGCAGGAGCAGAGGCGTCAGCTGCTGTAGCAGTACCAGATGTGCTAGTTGATGTGGCAGGTTCAGTAGGTTCGACAAGAAGTCCGCCGTTATCATCTTTCGCACAATGGGGAGCATGAGGAAAACAAGGTATACAACTTTTCTTGGATTTGTGAAATCTGGAAACGCTGTGGGGAGTGGGATAACCACGGAAATCATAAATAACATAAGAAGGATCCAAAGCTAGTTGAGCTCTGTACTCTTTGATTGCAATTTCAGCCATATATTTACCAAAATCAAGAACTGATTTGATTTGGACTTCTGAATACTTAAAGCTACCAGACTTGAAGAAAAGAAGGGCATGCATTATGTATTCATTTTTGAAAGGATATGCTGGATTGTCGTTGACATCACCACTCAAATCAAGATATTCATCATTACCATCATCACCACCATCACCATTAGAGCCGTTGTTGACGTCGTTAACAGGAACGGGAGGTTCATTAGATTCGCTATCATCATCAGATTCCCCTCCGTTGTTAAAATCATTGTTGAAATGGTCAAAGGCATTACCACCATCGAATTCTTCTTCACCATCATCACGCCCATCATCATCATAATCATCATATTGATTTTCATCAAATTCATTTGCAGGTTCAGACAATGGTTCGGCAGTGCGTTCAGGTTGGATTGGTCTAATGTATATTGATGTAAGTAATTTGAATATATTTAACAGCCTTAAATAACTTTACCTTTCAATGGACTCCATATCAGAACTACGAGATTCGCTTAGCGGGATAGTAGGTTGTTCGTCAGAGGTATTCCTAAAAATAATAATGATAAGTACAAACTGACTATTTTTAAATTGATGAAGACGCTCACTTACTGTTGTTGGATGTCATTGGCAGGTAGTGATCCTTGATTGGACTGAATCGCCTCCAGAAGTTCTAAGTGGTGTCCTGATCGTTGATGCACTTTAAAAGAGTGTCGATTAATTGTACTGTATTTACATAACACACACGTTTGCTCCTGAGGCGGTAAGGCAGGTTTTGCACGGAACTTATTTGTTCCAGGTGTTTTTTTCATAGTGTTTTAAAATTAAAGTAAGTTGTTTATAATAAAATAAAGAATTTTGATAAAGTGCACTCTGGGGATTGTGTTTGGTTTATATATCGTTCAGATCAAAAAATGTGTTTAATGCTTAGCTTATGCGGACATAAGCTGTCAATTTGATTGGTGCAATAATTTACAAACGTCATTGCGGAACGATATTTTGTCACGCAACCCAACTTTCTTAGGTCGCTTTTCTTTCTCTTACGTATTTTTTTTTAACCGTGGCGTGTCTTCACAAACGCGTGATTATTGCTTGTAATATTATGATGCTTATGAACAATGGTATGTCATAGAACATCTGTCTTAACAATACTATCATAAGGCATTCTACTAATTCTTCTCTCACATTCAATTTAATCAAAGTCAAACGCGAAAAAGGTAGCTATTTCATGACTTATGCAATAATATAATCTTCTATCCCCTTTTACTTTCAAGATGTGTATCTATAAAGGTATACTTTATTCTTTACTGTGCTTCCCTGTAATAATATATCATTAACAAACGCCTTTTTATTTTTTAGATGCTCTTTTCTCTTTGAAATACCGTAAGTAATATCTTGGTGATAATTTTACATCCTAAACTAATACATAACGCGTTTCATTTGTCAATAGATATATCGCGTAAAGCTTCATACAAGGTACTATAATTTTAACATTAATCATTATCCGTTTTACTAAACACATTATTCACTTTATAAATTAGCTCGTGATACTGCTTAAGCACGGATAAAATGTAAGTACAACATCTACCACAGACACTTGAATATCACATTAATACCTTTTTCCGTAGCTTCAGCTCAAACAGAATCAGTTTTGCGTGGGTTTTCTAGCTTGAATTCACTGTCTGCTATGCGTGTCATACGTGGCCTGTCTGGGCTACGTGGTCTGCCCTGTCTGTCAAGGCTGAATAGCCTGCCTGGTCGGCCTGCGTAGCCCCGAGGGGCAAACAGGCGCTTTTTGCCGGTTTCTGATTTTGTGGGCCAATTTTTTATATAAATAAATTTCGCTTTTTAAGGCAATTTTAAAAAAAAACTATTTTCGTATTTTGTATTTGTATTTTATTGTTTTGTTTGTACAGCAAGGAAACGTAAACAAAACCACAAAACCAAAAAGGAAACAATTTTCATATCTATTTTTACTTTTTTTTTTGGGAAAAAAATGGTCTTGAAATTTTAAAGTTTACACCTGGTTGTGTATGTAGTTCATCTGTACTCCAAAAATGTGTAGTGTGAGAGTTAAATCTTAACCCTATTAAAGCTATTACAAGACTGATACAAAATGTCAAGCCCACAATTGTCGATGGTTCTGATGCTTCTCTAAGCCACATTCCGACCCGGACTCTTCTACCCGACCCGGACTCTACCATGGATGTTGAAATGCCTCTGGAGATCGAATTACGGTTAAAGAAAGCTAAACTTCTAAAAAGGAAGTTTGTACCCAAGATAACCAATGCCAATAGAAAACGGCCAAAGAAGTAACACCACTTTATTATAAATATCACAACACTACTTCTACATTCAATAACCTGATTACTTATATTTATCACAATCAATCTTTATATCTATCACCATACTTTTATTATATTATCACCATACATATCAGCATTACATTATCACATTATTATCACATTCTATATATTCCCCAAACTAGTATAAATAGCTCCTAGCTTTGTATCAAATAAACATTATCTTCTATTTTATATATTTAAGTACTTACCTACTTATTAACTGATTAACCACTGAGAGTTGAATCTTAACCCACTATAACCTATTACAAGACTGATATTTGGTAGCACCAGAATCCAAGAAAAATGACTGACAATACTGACAAGAATAACTACAATGCTGATATGGCTGAACTGATCAAAAAGTTTACTACTGCTATGACTGAAAGCAAACAAACAAGAATTAAAGAACCTGAAGTGTATGATGGTACCCGTGATGCCCTTTTGATTGATGGCTGGATCAGATCTATTGAAAGATTTACTACTTTCAACTCCTGGACTCCCGAACGTAGCTGCTTATACGCTACCACACTTTTACGCGATCGTGCTGATGCCTGGTTTAGAACTATCGAATTAACAGACGACGCTCCTACTACTTGGCTCGAACTGAAAAGACTAATCATCGAATTTTTTAGACCTGACAACTCGACGAGAATCGCTCGTGATCGACTCGCTTCATTGAAACAAACAGGTGATTTGGTTGCTTACATCAATGAATTTATGGACATTAAATTAGCTATCCCTGGTATGACTGATGAAGAAGGATGTGACAAGTTTGTTCGTGGTCTGACAAGCAAGCAAATGAGATCGCATATTCGCCAGTATGATGCGGATACGTTGAAACAAGCAATTCAAGCTGCACTTGCTTTTGACAGTGCTCAACAAGAAGACATTTACCCGTATGTGGTTAGGTCATCGCATGTTAAAGCTCGTATTGATGATCCCATGGATTTGGATGTGGCAGAAGAAATTAATTATGTCAGAAATAACAACAACCGAAACAACAATGGTTACTCTCGCAACAACAACAACCACTTCTCTCGTAACAATGGTAATAATTATTCGCGTAACAACGATAACAACAATTATGGTCGAAACAATGGCAACTACTATGCTCGCAATGGTAACAACAACTCTAATAATAACACCTCATGTTATTATTGTCACAAGTCTGGTCATATCAAGAGAAATTGTCGTACTCGTTTATCTGATATCAAGAAGTTGGATGATCAACATTCCAAGCGGGATTTTCAGTCAATGTAGTTGAAGAACAGGAAGTTCACCTACTTGACATAGATAACAATAACAATTTTCCTGAAAATAAAAACTTGATTGATTTTGACCTTTATTCCACTGACTCTACACCCTACCCCACATTAAATCCAACTAAATACAACAATAATACAACTAATGTCGACCCTACCAATACTCCTCCACACGTGGTGATTGAAACACTACCTATTATATATCCCAAATCCTTTATTGATGATTTACAACATATATCGGATTTAAATGCTATGGCTACTACTCTACCACTATATCCTGTCCAATACAATGGCGAAGTTATACAAGTTCTAATTGATTCCGGCGCAAGTGAAAACTATGTCTCCCCTCATGTAATTAGATCCCTCGATAGTCGTAATCTTATCTCTGTTGAAGATCGTCATGTTGAAACTGCTGGTGGTATGGTATCCCAGATCAAGCACAAGGTGGAAATGATTATCAATTTAAATGGTGTTCACGACAAGATCACGGCCT